GACATACCATAGAGCAAACGCATTTCTCGTGCCAGTAAAACACAAAACTGGGACATTAAGCTATGCCTTTTATATTTTTGTAAATAAACCCCGGGGTGGTAACCGTTAGCAGGTCACAGAGGTAAAGTGGCTTTTCAGGGCTCCAAGTCCCGACGCCCTTTGCCTGGAGCGTCTCGGGAAAGCAGCGGGTTTGGGCAGGATGAGTGCGGGGGGACAAGGCATGTCTCCTGCAACGCTGCCGGGCAGCGAGCAGCCGCCGAGGGATGTCTCGATGGGCCATCACCACCTGAAAGCTTCTGCTCTTCCAGAAAACCAACCCACGATGATTATACAGACATGCTTTCCCCTCCAAATACTCCTGGCTTTGCTTTGCTTTTGTTGTAAGTAAAATATGTTTGTGGCCGATCAATGCTATCAGAAACTATTTAATCTTAGTGTTGTAAGGAAGTAAAGCGTGGCACTCTTTTTTAACACCCTGTTTCTGGGAGTTTTTACCGGGGAAACTGTAACTCATTTAGCTGAGCAGTGCTGCAGGAGGAAAGAGAGAATTAACTTCCGTGCATGTGCAGGAGTCACTTGAGCCCGCTGCAGATTCAATTATTTATGGAGTTGCTGTGAAATATTGCATGAACTTCAGGGACAAGTCATACCCTCCGTGGTAAATGAAAGAAAAGCCCCGAGAGCTGACGTGAGGCTGCGCTCGACCGCGGGGTTAGCCCCCAGCACGCCCAAGGTAAAGGATGCTCAGAGGTAAGGCCGTGGCAGCTACTCGTAGGGATTGAATGCATTTTCAAACCTGTTTCAGAATGATTATCAAATGGCATTTTTCTTGTTGCAAGATGGTTTGGGGGTTGATGATACTACATATTTTTGGGACAGAAAGGGGATGCTTGAGGTGACCCTGGCCCCGGCCCCAGAGCTGGGCTGGTTGCTGCTACAGGTGACGTTCCCGGGCTGCAATTCCTTGTCTCGACCTGAGCCCGTGCAAATCCATCGCTGCTCACGCGACAGTTTGTGCAGTGACGCTACGTAATTGGGGCCAACGTGAGCATCACATGCGGTTCAGGGAGTAGGATGTCGGTCGCAACCACCGCACCCCTGTGGCATCTGTTTCCTGCCCTGCGTAGCGCTGCAGAGCTGCTGCTTCCCATCTTGGCTGTCGCGACCGGCTGCAGAACAGGTTTACTGGGTTTGCTTCCCAAGGTTTTTCTTTTCTGGGAGATGCTGCACCACCCAGAGCTGGGGGAGTGGGAAGGGCCACTGGTTTAATGCCACTAGTTTTTGGTGGAAGGGTACAAAGCCAGCACACCGATATCTTTACAACTGGGCTGTAAATGCACCAAATTCTCCTTCTCAAATGTGTTTTGTCAGCCCAAAGCCCCTGTCCCGCGGGCAGCCCCTGCACTGCTGCCTGCCCCGGCTGCTGCGCACATAGAGAGAGAAAATCAACATACATCATGTTCTTTTTGGTGCCAGCCTCTCATGTCCCTCATCAGCCTGCTCTTACCTGGAGAGCCACAACCTTATGATCTTTCTTTTTGTTTCTGTTTCGATTTATGTTTCTTTTTTTCCCTTTTTTTTTTAAAAAACATCAAAGCTGCCTCTGGATGACCCAAAGGCAGTAAAATGGGTATGCAAATTACCTCAGCCGCAGAGAAAACATCGCTGTCCTTACGTAGTCTCTAAATTACTTCCACTGATTTGTCAGCATGCTCAGTTGTTCAAAAACCCAAGCATAAACCTTAACCCATTGCTTTTATCGCATAGCATGAGATTTAATACCACCAATTATAGTAGACACGACGTACAGTGGGCAATAAGCATGGGAATTCCACATGACAGTAGCATTGTATGTAGTTCTTTATTAATAAGTAACATGTTTATCAATAATGCGAGCACTGTTGTTTGCAAATAATGTAAATGATGCCCGTCGACGTTAAGATTCGTACTACAAGGGGCAGTCACCCAGGGTTAAGGGTCTGGATGCTCTTTAGGATTCCTGGCGTTTACCTATTTTGCGCACGCGGGCAGTGAGAAGCTACGCGAGCAGTTTGGAGCAGCTTCTTCAGGAGCCCCGGAGAAAAGGCACAAACCCCTACGGCTCTGGCCAAAGCCCTAACGGGGGGGGGTGCGGTGTGTGCAGCTGGCCTGAAAACAGTGAAACTGGTATTTCTACAGCGCTCTACCTGGGAACAGCAGGGACGCCCTCAGGCCGGGGTCACCTGGAGCCACGGCAGCGTTCAGCAACGCGTACGGAGACCTGCGTTTGTCATCCGCTTGTGTCACATTCCCTGAATAACTGCGGGATGAATGTATCTGGCTGAGCCGCTCTGTTTGCCCTGGCAACCAAAGCCCTGCACGTACAAGCCACGTGAAGCACGCATGCTCGTTACCTTCAGACACATTCAAAGATCATCTGAAGAAGTGAAAGTACAAATGCCAGGCTGACGAAGCTGGGTCCTGGCGGTGAAGATGAGAATTGCAGGGCTGGCCCCACAGGGAAGATGCCCACGGGCCAGCTGCCATCTCCCCTTTGCTCTTTTAATCTCTGTGCCCTTGGTCAAATCACGTAACTGGTGCCTGGCGCGGCTCGCCAGCCGTGGGACGGGTGGGTACTGCTCCTGAGTTGATCCCGTGTTGATACCTGCACCCTACGGTCCGCGGTCCCATCACCAGCTATCAAACACGCCAGAGATTAGAGGGGCTGATCATCCATCCTGATGGAATCGGGTGCGGTGCTCTAGCATGCGGGAGCGTTGTGCGTCGGTTTTCCAAGCTAACAGTCAAGGTGCGATGCTCTGACGAGCACCTTTGGGATGTCACTGCAGGTTTATGCACCGACCTGTCCCATCCGTGAGCCTTGGGACCAGCCCCAAGCTGGCCTCTGCTAACCAGCACATCCGCATCCTGAGCCCCGGTCAGAAAAAACGGAGGAGCTTGAGTCTGTTATTGTCACCGAGAGCTGAATACCTGCTCAGCCTGCCTGGGGCGAGGCTCTGGAGGAGGCGTTACAGCCCAGCTGGCACCCCCGGGCACCGGCTCGCAGCATCCAGCCTGGCAGGGCAGGCAAGAGGGGCCGGGAAGAGGTGGGAGAGCCCCGGGGGGGGGGGGACACAGGCTACAAGCCATGGAAAGGTCACCCTGCTCCCTCTGTTCGGTATGTAGGTGGCCTTTGTCCCCTCAAACTACCTCAGGTGGGCTGAGAAAGGGTAAGGGGGGGGAAAAGCATCATCCTGCCTCAGCCGGGCACCCGCCATGGGACGGGGATCCCACAGGGGGGGTCGGTCCTGGCCAGGAGTTTCAGGGTGCCTGAGGGTTTCGGTTTGGGATGTTGGGTCAGGGGGTCTCATTTGTGTTCCGAGTCAAACTTGAGCAGGTTGTTAATTGCCTAATCCTGCCAGAGCCCGCACGAAGGTATTTAACCGCAGTGCAAAGAAATGGCGCTTGTAAATGCCTGGGTATCCACACACAGCGAGCAAACAAACACGGTGGGCAAAGATCTCAGCTGGAAGGACAAATATTGGGGAAAAAACTTCAAAAAGCTCAGCCTTGGGGCCCTCCCCCTCACAGCTACACCAGCCGGAGAGCGGAATGCAGGTGCTGCGGCTGGAATCGATGCCTGCATTAATACAATGAACTTTTCTCCTCACAGTTAAAGTTTTACTTTACCGGAGGAGACCAGTGCAAAGATTAGTGGTCTTACGGTCTTTTTTTTTTTTCCTCTGTAGAAAGTACATTTTGTGCCCATGTGAAATCTGGCTGACTGAGAGCATCATCCAATGAGTCGCTGTAACTTTCCTGCCAGACCCATCAGGGGCTTATCTGGAAGTTAATGGCATTAAATCAGCATTAATCACCTTCACAGCTGATTCAGACTTTGGCACGTCTGCTACGGATGCCACCATCCGCCCTGGCCCTGGAGCTTCTCTCGCTGACAATGTCAAGGACAGCAAAGCCAGAACCTAAGCGAGACCAGCTCAGACCAGCTTTTGCAGATGTGCAAAGTTCACGACTACCGAGTGAGCCCAGCCAAAGGGCTGCGATATTTGGCAGCATCAGCAGTATTTGCTAGCATCGGCAATATTTGCTAGCGTCAGCAATATTTGACAGCGCAGCAATCAGCTGGTGATGCTGAAAAGCTCAGCGTTCACGCCATCGTGGGCTTTTTAATGAAAAATGTATGTTATTGTAATATTCTGGATAATTTTGGTATGTCATATCTCCACATACGCGTAGAGCTGTCTCCTCTGAACGCTCAGGATGCATACGTACAGGTGGGTGCTAGCATTACGCTATGGGTTCGTCACCATTACAGCTGCATGGCGAGGGGGCTGTGTGTGGGCGTGCAGGTATGTGTGTACCTATAGAGAGACCTATATACATCTGTATTTATATATGTTTGGCTGCGTATTTTATATACACAGATAAATATATTTTAAAGCAGGTGCCAAGCGCTATCTAAATAAAACATTCATTTTCTAGCTTCTTTGCTACAAATGCCGGAAAGGTTTCTTCTTGCTACTTCAGCAAGAGGTCTGTAATGTAGCACGCAGACCCAGCACAAAAGCCAAGAAAGGTGGTGAACTTATCAAAATAGGCTGTAGCGCATTCCCGAGTCCCTGGCACGTCACATCGCAGACTGTTCAGCTGGGGGACAGCCCCAAACCAGCCTTTCGGCTGGATCGTTTGATTTTCCCGGGTCATCTCTATGCCTTTGTCCTTTCGTTTGTCGCCCCAAATACAGGG